AAGACAGATGATACTGGTAGCAGTCAAGAAGATCAGGCAAAGTCTGCAGGCCACTCAGAGGTCCCACCTAAATCCAGACTATCTTAGTGTTATCACAGCACTTGTGAGGGCCCATAGGGGTGAAACCTCACACTCCAGAGGCAGCCACAGAAGGGAGGAGAGGCCTAAGGTGTGACAGCAGCCAGAAGCTGAGCCAAGACATTGTTTGGGGTGTGAGGTTGGCTCAGGGTTGACACAGCAGACACTACACCCATCAGGAGAAAGCCATCCTGCCTGGACAGTTAAATCACAGCTGCTGGTTTTCCTGCTTCAGCTGAGGACATCTGTAGTGCCTGGTTTTCCCCTCATATCCCAGCCAGCAACACATACACCCACAGACATCCCCTCCTGTTGTTCCAGGTCACAGCGGCATGGTCAAGCTGACCACAAGCTCCTTGCCCTTCCCACCCATTGCACCTCTGGATGGCCAGGGCAAAAGCAACCAGAGGGCTGATGCAGAAGACCCTCCCTAGGGTTCTTACCATTTTACGAGTCCTGTCGACAACCAAGTCAATGATCTGCTTCCCAATGGTGTAGTGGCCCCGAGCATAGTTGTTGGCAGCATCTTCTTTGCCACTGATGAGCTGCTCCGGGGCGTATTTTTTTGATCTCATCTGCAGGAAATAGAGATCTCATGAATGTCACTGGCACAACAGTCACTGTCTGCCAAGCTACCCTAATTTAGATGCAGTCTCACAAGGGAGCTGGCAGCCTCAGCAGCAGTCAACACCACACTTCAGGTCAGAGAAGGTACTCCACCCCCACCTCCTTCCCTCCAAGAGGTGTGGAGACCTTCCATGACTTACCAATGACAGTGGGCTCCAGGTCAACAAATACTGCTCTGGGCACATACTTCCCTGATCCTGTCTCACTGAAGAAGGTCCCAAAGGAGGAGTCTGCTTGTGCCGAGGATGCAGTGGAGGAGATGATGCCATCTGGCTCGATTCCATGCTCCAGGCAATACAACTCCCAACAGGAATTGCCCATCTGGACACCAGCCTGGCCAATGTGCACTGAAATACACTCCCTCTGCACAGGGATGGGAGAGAAGGGGAAGTCAATGTGCAATGAGGATTTAGACTGAAGCTGGAACTTCTGGATCTCCTAATGGAGCACATGGCCAACAGCCTACAGACAGGGAGGATTTAGACTGAAGCTGGAACTTCTGGGTCTCTTAATGGAGCACTTGGCCAACAGCCTACAGACAGCAGGAGCTTTAGCCCAGCTTGGTGGCAGCCAGGGCATTTTCTCCACAGCAGGCACCCAAGAGCTGCTGAACACACAACAGCCAAGCATTAGCCCTCCAGAGAGGTGTTGCAGTCTCCCACCAAGGCAGAAGCAGAGATGAGGGCATCGCAGCAGGTCCCTCTGCATCCCACCACTGTCATCACAGGTCTCAACAGCCCTGCTCCCAGGAGCAGGCTACCAAGGTCACCTACTGAACCTAGAGCACTTGATGGCTGTCAGGTGCAGCTGCTCACGGTGGTCTTCTCTTTGCTCTGCTGATGCTACCTTGGGGCAGAAGATGGGGCACAGCCAGCCTTCCTAGGAACTTCCCCTTGTGCTCACAGCTGGGGAAGAGGGAAGGATTCAGCCCTGCCAACCTGCAGGATCAGCTGGCTGGAGGCAGCTAGAGAGCACAGGGAGGGACTAATTCTGTACCTCCAGTTACCCCATGAAGCACCTGCTCTTGGCTTGAGCCACAAGGAAGAGTCCCTGTGCAGAAAGTGCAGTTGAGCTGTTGAACTCCTTGACACAGGAGGCTCTGAAAACCAGGCTTTTGGGTTCACAGAGACTGGACTAGAGACTTCCACAGAGGCTTGCTAAGGGGGAAAAAAAAAAAACAAACCAACAAACTACACACCCAGCTCAGGAAGGCCTGAACTGCAAGACCTCAGAAGAGTCTCAGATGGGCTTCCCCAAGGCTCGGTCTGCCCTCCCCACCTGCTTTTAGCTGTGGCCTGGGCTGGAGACCCAGCACAGCAACTCTCAGACTCTCTTCATGCAGGAAGGCTGGCACAGCAGGACCCCTCCCAAGCCCAGGAACAGGACAGCAACAGCCTACCCTAGAGCAGAGGGTCCTGCCCTGAGGGCGGGTGTCTGATGTATCAGCCCTCAGCCACCACTGCATTTCTCTTCCTACACAAACAGTCCCAGAACAGCCTTAGCCACCACCCAGACCAGGGCCAGTCTTCACAAGCAGACACCTTCACCCCCTGCTCCAGATCTGCCTCAGCCCCACACCAGCACCAGGTAGGCACCTAGCTCAGTCTCAGATGACACCAGCAAGGCTTTCAACGACTCTTCACACAGCAGGACAGGCAGGTCTGAAGGCATTCCAGCAGGGTAGTCCTCTCCAGGCCAGGAAGAGGCAGACACCAAGCTTGCCAGACCACCCCAGCTCTGCAGACCAGCTCCCAAGCACAAGCTCTACACCCCCAGGAGCCCCTTCTCCAAGCCTTACATGCTCCTCCAGAGCCCACCACCACTTTCATCCCCAAGTAAGCCTGCAGACCAAGGGCAAGACACCTTCCCGAGGCTGGAAGGAAATGCTACCTCCAGCTTCACCCTCCCACAGAGCTGGGAAGCATCAGCCATGGCCATCAGAGACCAAAGGCAAGCCCCACAGCTGCTCACCATGGCTCTGAGCTCCTCTGCACAAGCCCAAGCACCTCCCTGAGAGCACAGCCTGCCTACCTGCCCCCCCAGGGGCTTTTTATAGCAGGGAGAGCTGGGCTCGCTGCTGAGGGGCTCCGTGCTCCTGCCCCCTCCCCCTGCAAGCTCCTGCTCTGCCAAAGGCTTTGGGTGTGTCTGCCCTGGGAGGGAGAGCCATGGGGGTCATCAAGGGGCCTGGAAGGACTTGCACCTGCAGAGCCACGCAGGCTGGGGTTTCTTTGGCTTTGCAGTGCTCCTTCAGCATTGCTTTCCCCACAATGTCTAAGGGCACTTGCTGTGAAATGAGGAAAAGAGCTTCAGGTGGGTTATTTGGGAGGAATGTCTGGGGTTTTTTTAATTTCTGATTTTTTTATTTAAAGAAAGAGGCTGAATTTTAAGACTTTCTTTGCAATCTGCACAGCTGGGAATGTGCTTTCTCCTTTCCTTCCCCCTTTTCCAATGCAAACAGCACATTGGTTGAATCTCCTGGGGATGGGCAGGAGTTGCAGGATGGGGCTCCTGCCTTGCGGGTGGGGCTGGGAGGCAGGGGTTGGGATGCCTTCTGCAGCACTGGTGCCACGAGAAAGCCGGGCTCTCCCAGCTCCTTGAAGGCAACCTGGCTACCCTGGCCATGCCTGAATTTTGCAGCATCCCCCTCCCTGGCCCCAAGGCATGGACAGTGCAGAGCCCGGAGCTCCCCCCAGCCTGCCCCACGGAGCTGGGTCCCACTGCCAGAGAGGATCGAGGGACCTGTGCGCTGCTGGCACCCAGGTGGGAGACGGAACTTCTCTGTTCCTCAGTGTCCCTTCTCTAAAACAGGTCTATTGGCTGATAGGTGGCAAAAATGCATCAGAGCTGCTGAGGCCGTTGTGATCTGATGTGGGGATGATGGATGCCCTGGAGGACCTGGGACAGCCATTGAGAGAGGTGATGGTACATAGCACAACACCAGGGCTGAGAGGTACCAGTGAAACCATCACCTTGCAAACAGACAGCCGTTTTATTTTCCATGCACCACACACAAAAGCAAGGAGTGATGATTCCACACTGAGTGGTGCGGTCAAAATGCCTGAGGGCCGGGATGCCATCCAGAGGAACCTGGACAAGCTCGAGAAGTGGGGCCGTGTGAATCTCATGAGGTTCAACAAGGCCAAGGACAGGGTTCTACACCTGGGTCAGAGCAACCACTGGTATCGATACAGGCTGGGGGTGAAGGGATGGAGAGCAACCCTGCCCAGACGGACTTGGGAG